CTTAATGACGATTTAAAAATCTTACCAAAGTTTTCAGTTGTCATCTGGCGAGAAAGAAATTTTCTGCAATAACACAATCATTCCACGAGCGAAGAATAATTAGTGCACCCGCCTCAGAGATGCGCTTAGACGTCACGGCTTTTGGGTGAAAATCGCACGCGATATTAGGTTATAATATAACTGCATGTCTAATGCTTCTAAGTGAGTGAAAATGAATATCGGCAAACCATTACATTTTGAATGCATTTCTATTTATTTGTGTTCGACAAGGGTGAATTTAATTAGGATTTTTTTTTCTCTCTCTTGCTTTTTTTTTTAGCGAATATTAAGGAAAGAGCCGAGTGAAAAAAAAAAAACCATAACAATCAAAATATTCAGAGGTAAGAAGATTTCAGAGATAAAAGTCTTGTTGGCCACTACGGTAGAGCGGTCTTTCGTAGAGGTTCACAGTAATATTTCAAGACAACTTGTAATCGTTTAAATTGATGATCATCAAATAACGCGCTTTTTAATTATGTTCTTGATGCACAAAAAAATTCCGCTCAAACTGAATACCGCCTTGACTTTGTCAGAATTACCTTTTTCATAAAACAATAAATTCTTCTCTTACTCTTTAGATGCGGAAAATAGACCTTTATTCAGGTTGTGAATAAACTCAACTTTGTTTGGCAACATATGTTAAGTCGGAAGAACTTGTTTATTCTGCTTTTTTTTTTTTTTTTTTTTTGAGAAGGGGATAACATTTTCTATTTCGCATTTAGTGAAAATAAAACTCAAAGATCTCTATCCCCTTCCCTGCACCACATATTTTTTAATTTAAAATAAAACAAGAAAAGTTGAAAAATGGAGTAAACTAAATGAGTTTTTTCTATAAACATCTCAAAAGGTACCTATATGTAATACCCGTGAAAAGTCAGAATTGTATGAGGCTTTCACTTTTAAAGATTAATATTTTTCTGTTAATGTCAGAATGCGAATAAGCTTTTATTATTTTCCTCTAAAGCTCTCTTTTGGAAGAACGGAGGGAAAAGTCTTCACACTGTTTTATTTGATGTAAAACTTCATATCGATAGCCGAATGTAAATAAATACGTTAATTCTAAGTCACCGCTGTAATCATATCTACTTAGAAAATACCCTTCTCATGTGGAAAGATGTGTGACGCTTATTTCCCAAAAATCAAATTCTCTAAGTCATGGACAAAATTACGATTGTGACTGACGTTTATTTAACTGCAAATCAGGAATGTTAGTCCGGGACACCATATGATTAGTACAGATAAGGGTTAGTCGGAGTTAGTTGGGGTTAGTACATGGGACGCAGGGGCAGATCCAGGATTATTTGAAGATGGGAAGCCGACCCTCCCCCCCCCTTTGGCGTGGGTTTAGGGGGCTGCTGAAGGGCCCTGAAAAAATTTGGTATTTTAGAGGGCGAACAGTGCCATTTGGTTGGGTTTAGAACTATTATTCAGCTACAGCTAGGCTTTTTAATCTGTTCTCACTACCGTGATCGTGTCTACGGACACGGTTACTCTTCAACGTGACCAAGCCTACCGCCCACTTTTTGAACAATGGAAGTAGGAGGATCGTTTAACAATGGATATTTAGCCAGTCGCGTGGCAGGAGAGCGTGTCCCGATCTCTCAACCTGGCAGGGGGCGACCGTCTTATTCAGGAAGCGTGTGCATTTAGGCGTGATGGCATTAATAGCCAAAGGTCCACAAACAAATATACACACATTTGTCAAGACGACAAGATAGATTTCACTACGATGTATCAAGTGTAATAATTGTTACATATATATTCTAAATGTTGCTTACTTATAATTGCATTAAGAAAAAATCAGTATATCAATTAATTTAGTTTAAATAAAATCATCTGCAACAGAGGCTAAAAGCTGTGCACCTGGGACTAAGGGACTGCCTAAGTTTAAACATATTGAAGACAAAGACAACTTCCTTTCTTTTCCGAGGGAACAATAAAGGGGGTGAAAGGAGCAATTACAACGTGCAAACGTGCATCAGATAAGAAGTCCTACAATGTAGTTGCGATTTTATCTGCAATGGTAGTCACAAGCTGGTCTCATCCTTCAATGCGATGGAGTTTGATACACCACACATGTAAACATTCATATTTAAGAAAAAATCGAAAAACATTTGTACAACTGGTCTGTGGGACAGTCATTTACTTGTATTGAAACTTAAAAAGCATAAAAAAAGGGACTCACTTGTACAGTTGATATTTGAAGAATGACGCCGAAATATTTCCCTGTTCCTGCAGCGTACATTAACTGTACTTGTGTATACATATAATTACGTACGTATTTATTCTCCTCTCGAAACATATCGCGCACAATTCTCTCGACAACTATCATCGTTATATGAGGAATGTTGAGGACATTTTGAAAAACAGGCAGTCTTAAAACAACTTTATCACTATTCTAAATATTTAAATACAAATGCATTTATAAGGGCAAATACTGTATATCATTTTCCTTGCTTATAGCCCGCATTTCTGAAGAAATGCAGTAAGTCACACTTTACAAAGGTTGAAATGGTGTCGCCGACATAAAACAACCACACTTGGCAATCAATGTTATGCTGGAGTTTTGTTAAGTGATGCCAGGCATAGACCTGAAAAGGTTAATTTGATCTACATTAGTGCGTTAAACATCGAAACGAGGTAATTTATGGCAGTGCGTCTCCGTCGATAATTAATATACCGGTATGATAGAAGAAAGAGTCTTGACAATTTCCCTCAAAGTTATCTCTTCATTGTGTCCAGACGGGAGATGTGCATTTGCTATACAGTACTAAGCAACGTTCGTACATAAACGTTTATCTAAACACATCTGTCAGGACGTCAAGATAGATTTCACTTAGATGTTTCAAGTATAATTTCATATTTACTCCAAATGTGGCCATAAAGAAAAACAGCATATCAATTAATTTATTTTAAGTTAAATCATCTGCAACAGAAGCTAAAAGCTGTGCACCTCGGACTAAGGGACTGCCTTTATTGAACTAAACTCAAACAACTTCCTTTCTTTNCGGGGGGGGGGGGGGGGTATACTTTTTCGAGAGAGCCAGGGCTCAATGCCCCCCAGCAGGAAAACTAAAGGATTTATTAAGGAAAATGCAAGAAACTGGTTTCAAACTCCCCCCGAGAGTCCAGACTTAAATCCCATAGAAAACATCTGGTCTACGATGAAACACCGCTTAAGAAAATACACTAAGCCAAAAACAAAAGATGAACTTATAAGTGGGATGCAGGAATTCTGGAAGACGGTCACAACTGAGGAATGTATAAAGTACACAAAATAAACGAAGTACACAAAGTAAACAAAGTTATTCCGGAGGTGTTGAAAAGGGAAGGCCGTGCATCCGGATATTAGATTAATGATTATCAGGAGAATGCACTTTTTCAATTAAATGACTGTTCGTAATAGCCATTTTATTAATTTGCCATTTTTAAAATTTATTTTTTATAAAATTGTTGTAGTTTACTGTATGGACGTTCCGTGTTATTTGTGAATAAACCGACTATTCATTGACTGCAATAATTTGTTTCATTATATATACATGTAGGTCACATTCCACTTCATTGAAAAAGACAATCACCGCACTGCCATATTCATACTTCACTTTTTCAATTGGCTTGAGCATGTTATCGTGACTCTTATCGTTTCACCTAAGTAAGCCAAAATTAAGATGAAAGGGCAACATCGGTAAATTAATTATATTTCATTCAATTACAAAATTCTATTTTTGAAAATGTCTACGAAGTTCGGAATGCGGTGAATAAACAGAAATATCGTCAGTGCTTGAACCATGGTTAAACCTAACATTTAGTGTTCCATGTCTTAACAAAGGGCACGTGCCGTTCTACACCAGAGCAATGCTTGGAACTAGCGGGGAGTATGATTGCACAGGCTGCTTGACGGGACACGATGTAGACAGCGGGGAGTCCGAGATGGTTACGATTGATAACTTAACAGCTTAAACTGTCGCTATTTGCCCTGTTATTATCCACGCGGGGGTTATCAGGAGTCACGGTCGCACTGACCGTGACCTACTGTGAACGGTCTTATTGACCTAGCTGTAATCAAAATTGTAATTTCAGGGGCCCCTCCCCTCCCCCCCCCCATGTTTATGACATAATTTTTTCTAATTGAAATGCAATAAAGTACTGTAAAAGACTAGAAATTGTATTGTTGTAATAAAAAATGCAGATACCTTACAGAGGGCAACAGATGGGAATAGATTTTGATTATACTGTATGAAATAAAAAAAATCTGATGAAGAGGTGTTAAGATAGGACTTTTTTTTTTTATGAATGTTTAAGTTGATGGTTGATATAACAAAATCAGGTATAAAGTATAGAATATATTTCAGTCTGATTATTAAACTGTTTAACCAACTGGGTTTTTCTAGGATTTCAATAGCTTGACTACTTTTTTAAAACGAAAGATTGGTTTTATTCAAATTCGAAACATCTCAAACTTAAACAAGCATTATTTGCCATGATTATCCATGAAACTTTGTCTTCTTTTACAATCTTGTATTCTAATATTTAAAACTTGAGCACGAGGGTCAGTAAAAGAAAAAGAAAATTCAGAAAATACTCAAGGCAGATTTTATTATCACAGATCATTGAAGTTATTTTTAAAAAATGTCTATTTAAAAGTGAATGAGATCATTAACGGCAGTATTTATTAATAAAAAAAGGAGATTCTGGTCACGTTTTTTGCACTGTTGCAATGTATTAAATAGAAAGGCAGTACGTATGTTCGTCTATATAATAACACTTCTGATCCATAAGAAATTTCAATACAAAATATTTTTATGATTTTAAATCTTTTTTTTTTTTATCATAAACATAGCACAGTTCTGCAATGGGGGTATGAGGCTTCCATGAGTCTCTGTTTGATAAAAGTTCTTGCACTATTTCTGGAATTATATCACTTAGTAAAAAGTTCCACTGGCAACAGAGCACTGAATTTTTTAAAACTTAACAAGCTGTGTCTTCTCCTGCCTGTGAGCATCCTCTCCAGCCTCATTAGCTGAGAAAAGTAGGCAGTAACCATACACACAAACTGCCTTCAGTGTCTGGAACACAAATAAGTCCTCCACCAGTGCCATTCCTACCAGAGCAGCCCAGTTGTACACAGCGCTATCACTCAGCTCTCCGCCATACACAATGCTGAGATATACTGCCATAGCCATGGAGACAACCAGCAAAATGAATGCTGGATAGATCAAAAAGTGGGGCAACTTTCCGTCCTGCTTTCTGTTGACCATCATCTCCAGTGACTTCAGCTCAGTGTATGGCACCTCATCTGATAGTTCTGGAACATTTTGTGTGGAAATGAATTATTGCCAAAAGTATGTGGAAGTTTAACTAAAAAATGATGCCGGCTAATATTACCCCTGTTTAACATCACAATCACTGTTTTAATTATAATAAGGGCAAGGAAGCTTATGTTGAAATCAATGCTCTAAATATCTTCAAAATGTAAGCTGAAGCTGGATAACATGAAAATGCATTATCCTTTTTTTATATATTCATTCTTTTTTAAAATAATTTACTGAAATGACAGACATTGATGATAACAAAAGGGACAATTACCTTCCCAAATATTAACTGCTACATCATGTGCATTGTCTTTCCTCTTGCTGTTGTCTAAAATTGTATTAAACAAGGGATATGTAAAGGGAAATATAAAAAGTTATTTGTTTGAGCCATATATTGCTACTGTTGAACATAAATTAGGAAACAGTAAATCAAAATTTTAGGATGTTACATCTGTTCTACGCTATCAAAAAGGATTAAAAAACATCATCATATAGACATGTCTACAGCCTAATATAATGGCATACTTTTATATATATATATATATATATATATATATATATATATATGATTACCTGGGATGAGAAAACTTGGGTTGAAGTGAGCAATGAGACTGTAAAAAGATGAAACATCTGCATTTCTGTAGCTGGAAATCTTCCCAGCATGGGATTTTGGGATTTCTGCCTGCATCTCCTTTTGCATATTTGAGTTTAGCCTAGGGTTGTTAGGAGGAGGAGCATATGTGTAGCTGGGTGTTTTCTGAAATATTGAAAATCATCCAATAATTGATTCTGCTGACTGGTTAATATAGTCAAAATATTCTACAGAAGGGGACATTTATTTTGGTGGTGGTTTGATGTTGCACTATAATACCTCAATATGAGTATAACGTCTTTTTATGTTCTTGTATATACATATGTGCTTGTAAGTCAAGCCAAATATATTGTCAAACATTACAGAAATGAAACAAGTGTCTGTTTTTAATTACAAGAAGGCAATACATGTATGTCTCAAAGGCAATCCATGATATCTGTACAGGTACATACATGCATGCACAAACTAAAAATAGAAAAAAAGTAATACCCCTTTCTTGTTGTCCACATCTCCCATGGCAACCAGATCTTCCTTGACAACCAAATTTTCCTTGGCAACCATTTCTTCAATCTGCGCCATAGCCTGGTGTTCAACAGTTGCACGTGCCAAATCATAGTCCTTCTCAAAGTCATAAGCCACCTGTTTCATCATGGTCTCCACACTTCCATGCACAACTTGTTGGAACCCATCACTGATTGTGCAACTGCGAAAAAAAAAATATATATATATATAAATCTTTCTTCAATCAAGAAAAATTAGTATTATTGGTAGAATAACACTCTGACTATAATTACTAACTCCATTTACACACTCAGAGCATGTGTCACATTAGCAAGAAAATGTGAAATCATTATAATACTATTAATAGTCTACAAAATGAAACAAGTGTCCAGCCCAATACAAGTTGTCAGAATCAGTCATCGCTATGAGCAAGACCTGTGGTCAACTCCCAAAACTAAAGACAAATTTAACTTTATTCCAACATAACTGTGAAATGAGGAGTCTTAAAATGAACACAAAATAAACTGTCTCCTTACATGTCATCATACTGAGGCTCATCTTCCAGGTTCTGCAGCACAGTGTCACCAGTGTCCTCTCTGTCATAGCACCTGATATTGTACATTGCTACATCATATATGCTATTCACAAGGAATGTTCCTATATTGACAAGGAGGCTGGAGAGGAAGATGCCTCTATCAAGCTGAATGACACCAACAGCACTGAGAAGGGTACTGGTAAGCAGCATGTTTGCAAGCATGTAGTTCAAGGTGCTGTTAAACCACAGAAGGACAGGGGCTAACTTCAAGCTGAAACAGCGTGTCCATCCATGACAGGACCACAAATACAGAAGGCAAGTTTGCAGTCCAAACCTGAAAAATATTTTAATAAATTAAAAATTATATCAAATATCAAAATACGGATATTTTACATGAAAATTACTACAACTACATTCCATGTTGAAGAAAAACTGAATACTGCATTAAGAAATCAGAAAATGTATCATTATTATTATTATCTTTCATATTTTATTTGTTGATAACTTGTAAAAGCAGACATTTCAAAGTACATCATATGCTTATTTATCAATTGTGAGAAAGTCTCCAACTTACCTGTAGTTCTTACAAGACTCCAAAGTGGTGTATCCCACTGTGAGGCATCCATTGCTGCTGAAGTGGGATTCACAGCCAGATACTGTATCATATACTGTTATATCCAGCACATTCCTTCAATGAAAGAAAAATAATAATAAAAATTCACTCAAATTTCTTTATACAACACATTTAACAATCAATATTTCAAAGAAATCTGGGCTTCCATCCATCTAAACTGAGAAGCTAGCTAACAGTTTTTTTCTCAAAAATACATAAGAGTATGTTAAATTGGCATTGAACTCCATCTGAACATGTAAAAATATCTACTATAAATAACATAACAAAAGTCAACATAACTGAGTTAACATGATACTTTAAGTAACAGTAATGATATATAATATAGCCACTGACAGAGATGAACTGCAAACTGTGACCTGATGTTCCAGTTAAGACTGTACATGCTGAATTGAATGTAATAAAGTAAATGGAAGCTAGCTGCTAATAATACTGTTGAATCAATATTTGCAGGAAAAAATTATATGTGCTCCAAAATATTCAAGATATTTACCTTTGGTATACAAAAGAAACCATTTCTTTTGTCCTACCCCAAGGAAATTGTGCTTCCTCCCATGTTCATTCAGATTATATTCAGGAGATACCCCCTGGTCTCCTATCAACTGCAATCTGACTTTGGGTGTCTTTACTGCTACAAAACAACATATTTCTATAGTTTGGAATAAATTCAGTTAAACAACAACTTTAATAATTATATACAACTGTAAGACTCTTCATTGGCCTATATCTCTATTTATATTTTTGTCATTTCAGTATTAAAATTTATTAAAATATATTATTATTATTATTATTCACACAATAATAACTAGTTTAAGCTTTTCAACAAGGATCAGAATCAATAAATTGAAAGATCTCAGCATCACTTTTACCTCTTTTCAGCCCATTTTGAACTGCTACCATGTATCTATAGTGATGTTCACCAGAATATTTGGGAACAACTATGATACCACTTTGCTTTCTCTGAAATGATAATGACCACTATAATTATAAGGCAAAGGAAAAGAAAGGAAGGGAAAGGAAAGAAATGTAAAAATAAAACAATAATGTTTTGAAACTGATTACAGCAGAAACTGTTTTTATACTTTCATGCAGACTAAATTTAAAATGTAAGTGCAACACAAAATTTTGTTTCACTCTCAGTACCTTCTTCCAATTGAACCAAATGATATAACTCGTGCTGAGTGACATAATGCCCAAAAACGCAAAGATGAATGCAAATGTGAGATTCTGGTACAGCATGATCTTTTGTGGAGCTTTTTTCAAGGCAAAAGCTAGCAAAGAAAAGAAAGGATGTAGCTTAAAAATGGAAAGCAAGGAAGCAACCAAGGGCAAAGAGAAGTATAGGAAGCACGATTAATTTAAATGAATATAAAAAAATAGAGAAAGTAGGGTCTAATGAATTAGTCTCAAAAAAAAACAAAACAATAACACAAAGTAAGATGCTGAATGAATGGAACTTTGACAAACCAAATTTAAAAAAAAACAAAAAAACATCACAATTTGTGCTAAATGAATGGTGAAAAAACATTGGTTCCCCGTGAGTTGTTTTAATGTATATCGCCTGCTTTGTAAACAAAAAAGGTGCAAAAGAGTTACATAAGTCTATAGTTTGATGATATACTTACCTCCATGGAGAGGTTGCATGAGTAGCAACATCAACAAAACTTTGATCTTCAAGTTCTTCATACTGGCAATTTTTTTATATGTTCTCCCTGTATCAAATAATATGAAGCCGTGTACAACAAACACGTATATTTAAAAAAGAAGTCGCGATTCAGCGAATAAATTATCGATATTTCAAACAATTTGGACGGAGTTGACTTTGACTTCCGCCCAAATCTCACAAATGTCTGTTGCTAATTGACGTCACATACACAATCAGCTCACGTGACCATTGTGCTGGGATGTGCGGTTGTGATGTTAAAACAGCCAAATCGATAATAATAGTTATAAATAACATTCACCTTAAAGGTTCACTGCACAGCCTGATTGGGGCTTTAATAAATTACCTTAAAGAGGATAAGTATGGTTTATGTTATCTTTCGTATTTGTTTGAATATATGCATATATATCTACTTAAATAGAAGACAGTGGAAGACTGGCTGCACTAATAGGGGAGACCGGGGCTAGTTGGACCCCGGGGTAAGTTGGCCCCCCGTCAATTTTTGAAAAAGTAACTACGAGGTAAAAAAATTGGTCACATACTCTTGTAAAGTGACCGTATAGCCTACAATACTAAGGAAGTGTCGGACGTTAATAAGTTTTACTTAAGCGGTGAGTCCAAATAAACGATTTTTGCACCCAAAAGTAATTTTGTTTATCAGAATTAAAAATCTATTTTCATAGGCTTTTGATCGAATATAATATATGTATAGGGCATCAAACTGAAGCTCATTGTTTCAAGTTTCACAGAGATATATCATTTGAAAACGANATATCTCACAAATGTCTGTTGCTAATTGACGTCACAGACACAATCAGCTCACGTGACCATTGTGCTGTGCTGGGATCTGCGGTTGTGATGTTAAAACAGCCAAATCGATAAAACAATAATAGTTATAAATAACATTCACCTTGAAGGCTCACTGCACAGCCTGATTGGGGCTTCAATAAATTACTTTGAAGAGGATACGTATGGTTTACGTTATTTGTCGTATTTGTTTGAATATACATGTATATAGTTCTACTTAAATAGAAGACAGCGGAAGACTTAAAATTGCTACACTAAAATCATTAGCAGGGGCGGATCCAGGATTATTTGAAGAGGGCGTCCGCGGATGCGAAGTCGACCCCCCCCCCCCCTTTGCCGTGGGTTCGGGGCCTGCTGAAGATCCCCGAAAAAATGGTATTTTTTTAGGGCGGACGGTGTCATTTGGTATTGATTAAAATTAATGGTGCGATTTTTTTATAGAAATCGAAAGGGGGGGGGGGGGGTAGGAGCCCCCTGAATTAAGGTTAGACATGAATCTCAGCAATATTATTATTACTTAAATACACATCTGAATCCTGCACATGTGCACACACACACGCGTGCACTGGTATATGCACACTATATTGCAGAGCACAATTTAGCCTTTGACACAAGAGCTCCGAGAACTGGAGTAGTTTTCAATGGATGTCAACGTAAACGACGCAGATGTGTCAACCTCATCCACCAGATCCAAAGGCGTTCCAAAATGAGCCCAACACACTTAAAAATATGTCATACAAAGTTTAATAAGAAAAAGTGAACAAGGGTTTACTCTTTATGCCATTCGTTCTAAATATTCTGTGCCTAAATAAATATTTCCAATTTTATGTGGAGTTTAAGGCTCTGTTCTCACAACTTTTAGATCGATCTATCACCGCGGGGAGTCTCACTAGATTACTGTCAGATAATCCGCCTTAAGTGTCCGTCCCCGCCTACTACAAGTTGTAAGGGGGAGATTAACTCCGGCTTACAGCTATTTAGAGTGAACCCCCAGGGATTTAGGTCGATCTAAAGTAGATCGATCTAATCTCTGGAAATGGGGTCTAAGTTTTTCTTTAATTTTTACAGAATCGTATCTATCTGTACGTGGATTTATAGGCACGTTTAAGTACTGGAACCTTTATGTTATGGGACGCATCTTTCGGGACGTGTAGGCCTATCTGTCGAGACTTTCTGTATAGAGCTGAGCCAAGGGGAATGAACCTCTCTCTATCTCCTTTAACACAATGGGGACAGTCTGCGCTTGTATTTTCATTTCTATTATGGACAGGCATGATAGTGTCTGTGGTCGCCATGCATTTTCCTGGTATTTGTATTCGCAGACTCAATTAAAGGAAAACAGTGCAACTCATTATTTTCAAATAATTGTATAAATGACTGATACAACTTAAATACTGTGCGAGTTCAAAATCCAACCTGATTTGATTTTTTGGGGGGCAACCGAGCTTCTTTTTAAATGTTTCATTTTTCACATATTGAGCTTTTCCAGATCTGAGTTATGTTTCCAGCTCACTGTTTCTGTCAGTTTTGACATTTATACTAATATGAGTGTTCCTTTGACAGCTTTGCTGATTTTCTTTCAAATATTGTTGAAATACTTATTTGCTATTTAGTGTCTACATATTTGGGGAAAACATAACAGGTCGGGAATGTTATCATAGTGATATCATTTATGCACGTGTTAGATTAAGTTGGGGCAGTTTACATCGGCAACAAACAACAATTAAGAGTGTATGCTTTTTATCAACTTAATTAATATCCAAAGGATCGAGGCTGGGAAGATCCGGGGTTTCACGTTTATTTTTATCTCATTCTTGTACGGGGAAAATTAAAACTGGAGGATACTCCGAATATTTGGGGGTTCTAGCTGGAAATTCGGACGCTGTTTGGACGTGGTGACCGAATAGAATAAAAAGGGGAGCAAGTTAATACCTCAACATACATTTCTGAGCGTCAGAGGTTACAACACGTATCACTGATCTTCTAGCAGACGTTACTATAGGTGCGGATCCAGGACTATTTGAAGGGGGAGGGGGGTACGCCACTGTTACTATTATCTTTGTATACCGTATAGAAAGTTGAATATACGTCCTTGGTCATAGTTAGAATACAACAATTGGACTTTGCGTTACTCACTCGACAACCATATCACCGTGAAGAAGTAAAGCACGGTGATAGATAATATGAATATCTTTGCCCTTACTGACAGTTTAACACGGAGTTCTGGATTTAAATGGTACATTAATTCTATGAAAAAAAAAAAACGTGGTAAATGTGGCAATTGAGAGACGTACTAGTCGGTACTGACTGGTAGATATATTACCTAACATTAACGTATTTAGCATTAGCAGTGATGATAAAAGTGTTGGTTTTTCTTTAATTTCTTGCATTTATAACTTTTGAAAAAAAGATTTAAAATTTTGTATTTCCATTTATATCAATTAATTTATAATGAACATGTAGGTGAAACGCTACCAAAATTCACCATTTTGCTTCAAATTTTCAAAATTTTCTTGGGGGAGTTCCCTCAATCCCCACCCACAAAAATGTTTTGTGAGAACAGATTACAGGGGCGGATCCAGGGTTATTTGAACCGGGGGAGGGGGGGGGGGACGATGCAAAGCCGATCCCCACCCCCCACCCCTCGTTGGCGTTGGAAATGTTTTGGTATTTTAGAGGGAAACCGTTTCCATTTTCCGAATTTTAATTTCAACAGGGGACCATTGGTGTGAATTTTTCAGAATCGAAGGAGGGGGGTGTAAGGACCCCCTGATCCCCCTCTAAATCCGCCACTGGATTATCACACCTGTCAACATTAATAACTGCCAGAGAGGGAACACCCTACGCCTCCAACCTCGACTCTCCCTCTCTCTCTCTCTCTCTCACACACACACAAGCACACACACATAGACACACTAAATTAATAAATAGGTAAGTATATAAAAAAACAATACTCCGTTTCTTTTATTTTCGAAATTCTTTTCTTTAGTGTTTAGAAAAGAAACACCTAGTTTTTTTTTTAAGTTCTGTATTAACAGTTTGCTTTGTCTTCTGCATAAAATTATAAATAACACCAAATAACACTAGTTTTTTTAAAGTTGTGTATTAACAGTTTGCTTTGTCTTCTGCATAAAATTATAAATAACACCAAAGCATTTTTAGATTTATTAATGCTACGAAGACTCTGTCGCCTTTTTTTTCTTTGAGACTATTCAGACTAAATATGTTCTCCTCGCACGATTGAAATAGTCTTCCGCATAAAATTATAAATAACACCAAATCATTTTTAGATTCATTAATGCTACGAAGAGTCTGTCGCCTTTTTTCTTTATGAGACTATTCAGACTAAATATGTTCTCCTCGCACGATCGATTTCGTTAGCTCATCCACTAAAATGTACATAATCTGATTGAGTTTTACTACATCTATAACACAAGTCCTGGCGAATATTTTTCATAGGGTTTCCTCTCGAAACTGTAGCACAAGCCTTAAATATTTCTCTTCTTATGGTTAATAAAGTATATTATAGAATTCACATCGTAATAAAACAGATATTTGAAAATTAAAACATGATACAGAACATAAAACGTTGAAGTCTCAATACGCGGTTTAACCCCACATGATAGGAATCACTTTTTCATTCAAAGTATCCATAAGATTAATATGAAATAGTTTCTTTCGTGGTCCCCTAAGATAAAATATATTATTTTCGGTCAAATAAGTTCCATGCAATAATCTTTCCAATTCTCATGACAATAAAATAAAATAAAATAAAATAAATATCACAGAGACAGTTCTGATGGTTTACATCTACTGAAACATAACAAATTGGAATATATAGTTAAAGTATATAAGTTAGTTGCGAATTATACAAGGAGGGGGGCATTACAAAACATCAAATTCAGAAGCAACGCCTTAAAAACACCGTAATACCACATGACCATCTTCAAATGCTAAAAAATTACCTTTTCATAAATATCTGGTTAGAAAAAAAAAGGCATGCACCCCCCCCCCCCCCCCCAAATCCCCGAGAAAATGACAAACCTCAAAACGTGCATCAAAATGGATAAAATGAACAGGGAAGGGGGGGTGTCGATCTGCCTGACATTTATAACAGGGTCATGGCTACTATACCACCTAGCGGTCAGTAAGTAAAAACATCTACTCACGACACATCAGTCTGAAGAAAGCCTACCTCCAGGTTGGTCGCAAGCTAACGGTAAGAAGAC